GCCCCTTCCCGGGCGCGGTGGGGGGCGGCTGTGCGCCCTCGCCCGGGCCTTCGGCCTGACGCGCAGGTGTGGACGGTTCGGCCGGTGCTTAGGGCGGCGTCGTGCGGGCTCCTGGCGTGGCCGCTGGCCGGCTGAGGCCAGCCGAGCCTTGGGGTGCGACGGCGGGGAGCCGGGCCCTAGGCTGCAGCAGGCGCTGCTGTGTGAGAAGCGGGTGTCGGCCGCGCACCCCGCAGGCCGGGCGGTCGCACCTTGCCGTTGCACCTGGCTCGCCAGCCCCACTCGCGGCGCCAGCACCTGCGCGTTGGGAGGAGGCGCGGGACAGTGGTCGCGATGGACACGGCCCTCGCGCCCTGCCTTTACCTCCTGCAGCAGTTCACGGCTGCCAGGCCGGCAGGTCCAGCCCTGGCCGAGGCCGAGGCCAGCGCAGAAGGCGAGAGCGGGCGCCTGGGTGTCAGGGCCTCGGGGGCCACGGCCTGCTGTGCTCCCTGGGCAGGAGCTGCGGCCGGGCAGGAGCGGGGAGGACGTGGGTCTGGCAGGGGCCGCCGGGAGCCTCGTGGCTAGAAAGGGGCGAGGTCGCTTTTATCCCAGCTGGGAGACAAGTGGTGGACAGTGCATTTCCTTGGGGTCACCACACAGAAAGGGCACTGGCCCACAGCCTGGGCGACGGTCACTCCTGTCCCCCAGGAGTGGTGAGTTGGTGCTGGCTACTGTGGGAGGTCGCAGAGTGGCTGGGGCGCAGGGCCTGAGGACAGGACAGGACACGGGGAGGGCTGCGGGGACGAGTCTCCCCAAGGGGCTCGTCCAGGAGGCAGAGCGGCCCGGCGGGTGGCATGGGAGGGGGCGCGGGCCAGCAGGAGCAGGGCCGGGCGGGCGGGGCCGGCGCCGCCTCCTTTCCCCGGTGCCAGCAGGGGCCTCCGAGGCCACCGCCCAGGGGCCTCCCCTGAGAGCCGGGACCCAGGGAAACGCGCGCTCTCCCCGCCCCCCGCAGAGCTGTTCGCCAAGGAGAAGCACGAGCTGAGGATCGCGGGCGGCGCCGTGCGGGACCTGCTGAGCGGCGTGACGCCCCAGGACGTGGACTTCGCCACCACGGCCACGCCCGAGCAGATGAAGGCGCTGCTGCAGGCGGCCGGCGTGCGCACCATCAACAGCAAGGGCGAGAAGCACGGCACCGTCACGGCCCGGGTGAGCGGGCGCGTCGGGCCGTGGCCGTGGCCTCCCGGCTGCGGTGT